GGTTATAGCGCCGCCGCCGCGCCCCTCCCCCGCCCCCGCCCCCCGCCTCCCGCGGATTCCGGGCCCGGGACCCGCACCTCGGAAGCGTGCGGGGGGTCTTGCGGGCCCGGCAGGGCCAGGCCGCCACCGCTACTGCAGTGAGCACACTCGCGTTCACGCAGGCAGCCAAATCCATCAAAGCCCGGCGCCCGGCTCCGAGCACAGGCGGCAGGGTTCCCCGCGCGCCCCTCCCTCGAGCTTGCCCACCCTCCAGTGCCAGCTGCAATCCTGCGGCACCGGGCGGGGAGGGGAGGAGGCCGCCGCAGAAGCGCTGCCGCCGCCGGCTCGCCTCTCCCGGGCCCCAGCAGCAGCAGAGGGCAGCGCCCAGAGCTGCTGCGCCAAAAAGGGCACGAGAGCCGGCCCGGCCCCCGCCCCGGCGCTCGGCCGCTTTCCACCGTCTGGATCCAGGGCCCCTGCCTTCCCCCTCTCCATAAAAGGAGGGGGAGTGAGTCTCTAGGGAGAGGTGGGGCTGGCTTAAGGGCGCGTCTGGGGCACTCACCTGGCGGCTGCCACGCGCCCCCGCCCAGGATCCGAAGCCTGGGCACCTGAAAAAGGAACCTCCACCCACATTTCGAGGTGGGAACGAACCCTGTTCAGGGAGGGGACTGCAGCCTGCCTCATCTCTCTCTTGTGAACCCCGCACCCCCCGAGTCCCCACTCCCTCGCGGAAGGCTGGGCTGCACCCTGAGCTGGGAACCGAGAGGTGGAAAGAAGAGAAAGGAGACGCTCAGGAGGAGCTCCTGGGTTCTGCGTCGGGAGCCGCGGGGCTCACAGAGCGCCACCTCCGGCCACGGCTCAGCACAGGGCGCGACGCGGGGGAGCGACGCGCGCAGACTAGGTCTGAGCAGGGCTGAACCGCTCCCCCGCGGCCAAAAAGCGGGTGTGCCCAGGCGCGGTGAATATCGCCAGTCTAGACCAAGTGGGGCTGGACCCGAAAGGTAGCACCAGATGCCTGCCAGTGTCCCTCCCTCGAGGGGGCGTACTTCCCAGGTACCAGGTTTGGGGGTGGCTACTCTTGGGGACTCCCAAAGTAGACGACCTAAGCTGGAGAGTAAGAGACGTCCGGTGGGTGAGGGGCAGCCGAGGAGAATTCTGCCGGCCCCAGCCATCACCCCCTTCCTGTAGATGAATCTTGCCTCCCACGCGTAGTCCTCCCTCTGGACCCGCAAGAAAGGCGCACAGCCCCGCGTGCGGCTCCCGCATCTCGGAATCTGAGTCGAGAGGGGCTTTGGTGACGCTCGCTTTTCCCCAAATACCTGAAGGGCGGGGACTCTCCCGGCACTTCTGCGGCGTCTATATAGCGCTCTCTCGAGTCTCCACCATCCCGCAGCCCTCCACCCTCGCCGCGACCCCGCCGGGTGGTCAGAAAGGCAGAACAAGAGAAAACTTGGACACGTTGAGAAGCACCTGAAAACCAGGCCTGATCCATCCAGATGGAACCTTCTGCGACTTTGGAGAGGCAACCCACTGGATGGTTTCTGGAAGGCGACCGAAAGCGCACTGCCAGGACCCAGCCCTCACCTTCTTATCCTGAGAGCTGTGCTCATCATGTCCCGCTGAGCCCCGGGCTCCTCGAGAGCAGAGGGGACCCCAGGACACCTCGTGGGGGTTCCAGGACCCGGTGTGACAGTGGGTGTGGGAATCCAGGAGGAAGGTCGCGTTGCATTTCGGATGGGGTGCCGCACCTTCCGGACCCCAACCCCCTCACGGAGGCCGCTGGTTCCCAGGAATCGTTCTTGGACGGGCGCTTCCCTGTGCTCCCTTATCCGCCCTGCGCTTCACGGACACCCAGCTGGAGACAAGGGCGGAGCAGGGGGCTATCTGGGGACACGGAAGGGGGCGCCCTGGGCGGCAGTCTGAGTGTATAGGGGCCAGGGTGCACCACTCCGACGCAGGAGCTGCGGGGCGCATGGCGCAGGCATCTCTCTAATCGCTGGCCGCTATTAAAAATAAAACTGCGACCCGTCGTCATAGCGACCACAACAACAGTGGCCGCCGCGCGGTGGCTAGAACTCGTGTGGCAGGACTACAGCCGCCTGGGGGACGCAGGCACAGCGCCCTGAACTCCCAAAGTACCGTGGTGAGAAACTAGGACCCCCTTCCCCGCCCCGTTCCCCTCCTCCAGATCCTTGGTAGATAGGAAAAAGCCGAACCCTAGACGCCCTGGTTTCTAAAACCTGGAGATGAAGGCACCGCAGGACGTAACCGAGAGATGGTGGCCTTGGGCGTGAACCAGGCCCGGGGTGGGGGGGCTCCTCCCCTGACTCCCGCTCATTGGAACTCCAGTGTGCCCTTTTCAGGCCCTGGAGAAGGGAGCTGAGTGAGTACGTGGGTTCTGGATCTCCGCCGCCGGAGGAGACGGTGCAACCGGAGCCAGGCCGGCGGGGTTTTGCGCGCGGGGGCCGCAGCACCTGTCCCGCCAGCACTGTCGGTGGGAGTGGTCACATGCTTTCTCCTGGCTGGGAATCGAGTTTCACTTCCAGCCGCTATTAGGCGGTTCACACGGTTCACTGCAAACATTTGATAATGAGGCTAAATATACTTTAGAGTTGGAGGAGGCGTGGGCGGCCGCTGCCCAAGCGCGTGGGTGTGGCGCTGCAGGCTCTGCGGGGCATCCCCGCCCAGGCTCGGGAGACGCCGGCGCCGAACCGAGGTGCAGTGCGGGACTCCTGAGCAAGACGCGTACCCACACCGCCCCCGAGACAACTTGACCCCGGCTGCAGGCACTCTTGCAGGAGGCTCTCTGGGCGTTACTGTCTAGGGCAGAAGAAGAAGCGGACGCAGCGGGCAGCTCCGGAGGGCGGGGAGGAGGTGTGAGTGAGAAGAGAAGGTGCACCTGGCGGCCCGGGATGTCCGGTCGCCCCCGAGTTGGTGCTTCCGGCCTATCTCAGGCGTCCCTGGCGCGCCCCGACGTGCCCGTGGGCCCATAATTAAGGTGTCAGATGCTCCAAGTAGGCCGAGTGGGGGCGCAACCAGGGTGACTGGCCGGCGTCTGTCCCTTGTTGTGTTCCCTCCCAACACAATCCAAGACCAAAGGCACTCGAGGAAGGGCTGGCAGAGCCTTGGCCATTCCGTTCTTGGACGGGCTCTTCCCTGTGCTCCCTGACGGGGGGGGGGGGAGGGACACGAAAACCAAACTTTATTAAGAAACAGGCAGAGGCCAGTGCTTTGTGCAGGTGTAGTCTCATTTTACCTTAAAGCCCGCCTCACACCATCCTCACGGCTTGGCACCAATAGACATTCAATTATTGCCGTCATTATTGTCATTTATTAGTAGTGATGACTAACCATAACTGAGGGCTTGGACTGTGCCAGGCTGGTGCCAAGCCCTTTCGCTATATAAATTCATTGCACACCCAAGTGGCAACCCCCAGGCTCTAATCCCTTCCCATTTTGCAGGTGAGAAAGTGAGGCATTTGCAAGCAGTGAGGTTCCTGATCCCTAGGCTCCTCCATAAAGACACAACCTGAATTCCCTGGTATCACTTAGGGTTCACAGGTAGGAAGGTGAAGGTTGATGAGGCCAACCAGCCATGCAGGTGACCCCGGGACTGGAGTTCACACCTACTAGGGCCCCAGTCCCAAGAGGCAAGATCCTGCTCTGCCCTTGACCTTGCCTCCTTGGTGTGAATTGTCCCTAGCCTGTCCTCAGATCGGTTCCTCATCTGGAAAAAAGGGGGGTGGACAGTTGTCCCCCTACACCATGATGTCCCCAGTAGGTCAGCTCCCTGCAGTCCCATAGAGGCCCCAGCACATACCTACAAGCCACAGGGCCCTGGGGGGGGTGGGGTCGGGAATTGGAGTGCAGAATCCAGGCCTACGCTCCTGTGTCAGCAAAGGTCTCAGAAAAACTGGCAGTGGTGTGACACCAAGTCCCCATTTATCTCTGGGCAAAGTTTCTCGGTTCTGGCAATTAAGCCAGAAGCAGCTTCAACCACGTGGACTCGCTCCTTGAAGATCAAACATGCCGGGTGCAGGCGCTAATTAAGTCATTACCTTAAGCCCTGAGGCTAAGGATCAGGCCTTTCCAGTTCAGGCTCCCCAGAGAGACAGAGATAAGCTTCTCCAGAGTGGGAAGGCACCTCAGTGTCTCCGCGCCCTTCTTAACTCCCTAGTCAGTATTTTTATTTTCTCTTTTAAATACACCAACAGAAATGAAATTGACTGTAGCTCACAATCATTTTGGGAATGAAGACTTCTATTAGGAGACATTTGGTAGGTTGAGCAAGGTGGGGGGGTGAGTCCAGAGTCTAGGTCACATCCAGGACAGGAGCATCCGCCAGGTGTGGCCCCAGAGCATTTAAATGCAGCTGGCCAGAATTCTGTTGAAAGTGCAAAACACACACGGGCTTTAGGAGACTTAGAGCGAAGGTCACGATGTAAAATTTTATTTTAATTGCAGTTTGAAAATAATATTTTGGATATACGAAGTGAAATAAACAACGTGATTCCAGTTCATTCTGCCTGTTTGCTTTTACTTTAATGCGGCCACTAACACCTTTAAAATAACACCCAGAATTCATAGCTGCATGGTGGAGCAGGCACGGGCAGGGGGCGGGGAGATACAGAATGCCCCAAATCTCAGGTGTAGGGACCAGCATCCAGTCAACTCTCCCCAGAGCCACCCCTCCCCAAACTCACTACTATGTGACCCTGAGCAAGTGGTTTAGCCTCTCAGAGGCTCAGCTTCCTCTGGGTAACAGCCAGCTCAGAAATTTGCTTTGGGAAATATTCACCTGCTCCCTTAACAGGTGATGATGGTACTGGGTTGGGCGGGAGGTGGAAGACCAAAACTACAGGGTCTTCCCAGAGCTCAGTCTCTCCAAAGGAATATGCACGCAAGTACATTCAGGTAGCCAGCAAAGGACCATGTGAGGTGAGCCAGTCATGAAAAGAGCTAAGAAGATCTAAGCCAGGCCTTCTAGGCAGATACCAATCACAGCAAGTGCAAAGGTCCTGGGGCAGGGACCTCTTTGGCATGTTCCAGAAGGGTAAGATAGGGTATGTAGGCAGAGTGAGGCCGAGGAAGGTAGGCAGGGGCTAGAGACCAGAATCAGGAGTTTGGATTTTATTCTAGAGAGGACAAAGCCATTGGGATGAGTCCAGGAATGTGGGAGGTATGATCCTCCACCATCCAGTTGGCAGTGAGTCACTTGGTTTGAATCCAGAGCCAACCAACTTAGGGCCTCCTTCCCTTGGGCCTCTGTCCTTAACCGTAGACATGGTGGGAGGAGCTTGTGGTCACCCTGTACCTTCAGGTTTGGGGGGTTTTTCTTAGTTTAATTTCTTTTTTGTACTGAGGATCTGAAGCCAGGGATGTTCTACCACCAAGCCACATCCCCAGCCTGTTTAAACTTGTATTTTGAGTCAGGGTCTCATTAAGTTGCTGAGGCTGGCCTTCAACTTGCAATCCTCCTGCCTCAGTCTCCAGAGTCAATGGGACTGTAGGTGTGCACCACCACGACTGGATTCCATTAGGTTTGGATGGGATTTGTCCACAGGCAAAAGACACAGGTGCCCGGGAAGGGTAAGGGAGTCAAGCTAGGCCTGAGCTTGGAGACCAGCTGGGGCATACAGGGATAGCTACCACAGCCTCAACAGAGAAGCCAGGCTCCATCCAACCTCCAGAGACACGGCCCCAGCAATTGGAAGGC